GTAAGAAGAGCCCAGATTGTGCGGTGTTACCTAATTTTCTTTGTTCCCGAAATTGGCACAGTGTGCTGCTAACATCCTTTCAACAGGGGCCAGATTAGCGTGCAGCGGTGCTGTGTTGCTTACAGCTGCCTTGGTGGAGCGCTTTTGTCCCTTGTGATAACCTGTTTGCACTTAATGCCCCAAACAGTGGTATACTGTTTAAAAAAAGTGCTGGATTATCTCTGCTATTGACAGTGAAAACAATTAATGTTGGCAATTCCTAGAAGCCTGGTCTTTTGTTACGTGTACGGTCTTTGGTTACAAGGCCCAGTTCCCTTTGTCTGATTTGGACACCTCGGCTGCATGTGCATATAAAGAATACGTGCCCAAAACCGGGCTCCGCAGCAGCAAGTGGTTAATGATATTGTCAGCAGGAAGGTGAAAATTAAAGGTGAACATGTGTATCAGATCTAGTCGTGCAGATTGTGAATTCCCATCATGTTCAGCACAGTTGGAGATATAATTTGGGTTTTTTTATTCCTAGATTTTCTTCTCAATCATTTTGTTCACAGTATTCCCCGCCGGTGTTCTTCAAGCCCCATTCTATGACAAGGATTACCCCAGGTAGGTACCAGCTTCATGCTGGGTTGCCAAATGGAGTTTTCTGACCGCTCGCATTTTAAAAATTTAAGCCATTTCAAAAATTAATTGCCATCAGCCTATAATGTTTGATGTTGAGGTCACTCGAGAAAGGTCAACCATTCTAGGGCTCAATTTCAGCTTGTATTAACAAACTGTCCGAAAGAACCAATTTAGTGCAGTCCAAGTTCCATTCCTTACCACGCCAAGGGGGAACTTTTTTCACACTGCTTTGCCCTCTATCCAGTCTATTACATCTCTCAGCTCTCTCAAAAAGGCACTCTAGAGATGCTTTTATAACCTTGCTTACGGCGTCGGCTTGTAAGCAAATCTAATTTTTGTTTACCCTGTACATACTAGCAATTGATTTACATTCACTTCTGTAGTGTCATGAGTGCGTATTTTGCAGGCGGATTTGTGTGCTTTATAAATGCTCATTTTTATTATCACCAGAAAGATTTTCATTAATGGGTTCGTATGTGCCATACTAGCCCAATTTCAGTGAAATACTCCATTCCCGGTGTCTCTCATATTTGAAATAATTTTCCGATATAAAATTGACCATGATTGATTATTTGGTAGAGTGTGATACATAAAGCAAAGAACAGGGAAATCCACTGGACCAAACAGAGTTCGACACTTTAAACTTAGCAGAGTACTCCGGCATAACTTCCGCACTGCAGATAAAGTGGTTCGGAAATCATACCAACAATTTACGTACACGTACGGCTTTTGCATCCCAGGTCGTTGAACTTTGGCGGCATGGGGGTGATCATGGGCCACGAAATCACCCACGGCTTTGACGACTCGGGCCGCAAGTACGACAAGTACGGCAACCTCAAGCAGTGGTGGAACAACGCCACCATCGACCGGTTCAAGAACCAGATCCAGTGTATGGTGGACCAGTACGCCAAGTACGACGTGGACGGGAACTACGTAAGTACTGCAAGATTGCGGGAAAGTTTGCGGCGAGATTCGCTGGAGTTGACATGTACACGTATAGTTGAACCTCGTTAATACGACATCCTTTGGACTTGGCAAATGACCTCATTATAACAGAAACCTTGCATTATCAGAAATGAAAACAATAAAAACGAATGAATATAAGCAGAATCTTTTATTGTAAGTGCTCTTGTTAATTAAGCAAGGTTTGACTGTAGACAAGGTTTGGGCAAATTGCCAATTAGATGTCACAAATCGCACTCATGTTCAGTTTCACGGCAAAGTGCGAACCGGCCATCACATGGATGTTTGATGCTTTACCAGTCTTCCCTTTTGACCTGATTTTTGTGCTCATACTGAAACGTTGCAGTCGGTGTACCTTTAGGATGCCATTTGCAGTGCAGCTTGAAGATAGAGGGCGCCATTAAGCCTGGTAACTTTGATCCGTGCAATACACTGGCTAAAAAGTAGCTAAAAACAACCGAACCCTGAAAATGAGCGACTTTACCTCAACTCTTAGCACAGTCTCGTTACCACATGGCATAGAATGGATTTGAATTTCTTGCTCTTAGATTGACGGGAAAATGACCCTGGGGGAGAACATTGCAGATAACGGAGGACTGAAGTCGGCATACAGGGTAAGGAAGTAAAAATGGAATGAAGAGGTTGTAGAAAACTGTCAGGGAGACTTAACAGTGTACCAAATTCATTATAATAGTAGAGTGTTGACAACGAAAAAGAAATGAAAGTAAATTTTGTAAATCTAAGACAATTTGGAGTTAATAAAATAATTAAAATTTCCTTCAAGACGCAAGCCTACTGTTTTGTTGTGGATATAGAACTTTTTATTGGCCACTGTGGTGCCATTTCCCATTCCACGCCTACCCTTCACTGAACCCAACCCTCCCCCGGGTCACAAAGCTAGCCTCGCCCCTGGATTCAGATACATGAGCAATTCTGCTCTCATTTCTCTAAAATATCCCAACAGGCATACCAGGATTGGATCAAAGAGCATGGAGAGGAGAAGCCGCTGCCAGCCCTGGGCCTGTCGCATCGACAGCTCTTCTTTGTTGGCTTTGCTCAGGTAACCCCCCCCTCCCCTTACACCCCCGTCAAGACCTGTCCTTGGACTCATCTTTCTAAAACACAGGATATCCCCATTGTTGGATCAAAGGAGGGTGACGCAACAGGGGCCATGCCCCCTCCCTTCCAAAACAGGGGAGATTTTTGCATTTCTGAAGTGATAATATTGAGGGACAAGCACTTGGGGGGGACTTTTCATATTTGTCCTCCTTCCAAATGCAGGCAAAAACTCCAAAATTTCGCTTCACCCTTTAGAAAGGCCACATGAGGTTTCCTACAGATTTCTCTCATGTATGATGCGATCTGTGAAAAGCCTTCACATGGTGAGCTTTTGTCATTTGGGTGCATAAAAACTTCCAATTAATACGGAAACCCTATGTTGTTTTCATATATATTCCATTTATGATTCTAGATTGTCTCCAACATGAATCTAGGTTGTCTAGAATCACAAATTAAACAGTTTTGAAAAGAGGGCAGTGTCCAGATCAATTTAAAGTTGATATGCACCAAAATGACAGAGCTCACCATGTGAAGGGTTTTCGCAGATCACATAACATTTTTGGAAAACCCCCCTGCCCTTTCACTCCGGAAAAATTTTGGCCCTCCCTTAAACCAAAATCCAGGATTTTGAGATTAGCTACTCAGTAATTCTTGAAAAGACATGTACTTCTGCTCCTTTGGCCTAAGGTTTAGTGGCCAATTCTTGGCAACTGGGCAAACAAGGCCGCTCCATTTTCACGGGTTAACAAAAGCTTTGTGCGTTGCAACACTGAGCAGGGCACCTGGACACAGTTTTTTTTTTGGGGGGGGACCATGTCCAACCACATTTTCAGCCTGAGACACTTGCCAGCAGTGCACGCGAGTGAAGTATTGATCAGCAATTCACCCATGGACTTGCTTTTCTCCTAACTGATAAATTTGTTTCGTTTGGACAGGTTTGGTGCTCCTCTCAGACGCCCAAAGAAGCTCAGCTGCAGTTGATCACCGACAACCACAGCCCAGCCAGATACAGGTAATAATTTTAAAAAAAAACTGTTACCCCTGCTCATCAGACCATGAGACAAATTTGGCAGCTAGTGTTGGCGCACATCAAGCCTCTACTTATAAAGGTACCCACTTAATACTCCTCGGTGGAGATGGGGCGAGTAGGGTAAAGTTCCTTGCCCAAGGGCATGATTGGTTACTAGCAGCTGGATTCTAACAACCCTATGATCGGGAGTTTTTGAAGTTCCAATAACTAGGGCAGATCGCTGGCATGCCCACTTACGAACAGGGAGGGATGTTGCAATAAACTCTCGGACCGTCCGCTTGCCTTCACCAGATGTTTTTTTGTGGTTCCACAGGGTGATTGGGACCTTGTCCAATTCAGAGGACTTCGCCGAGCAGTTTAACTGCCCCGTTGGGAGCCCGATGAACCCGAAGGAAAAGTGCGAGGTGTGGTGAAAGGGGAGGCCGGGGGACATGCCCCGCCCACGAGAAGGCGCGGCCGTCGTTTCTTCAATGCACTTCAGGTGGGAGACCACAGTCTTGGGACGAGGTTCGTTCACACTGTTTCTACGCATCACACTCTCCACAAATGATACCCATTCTCATTCAGAGAATCATTTGTGACAAGGTTCAACATTCATTTCAGCGGGCAATGGTGACTATTAAACAGATGTGTATCAGAATACACATGCAAGCGTCAACGTCTCGAGTCAAACGGGAGTTTTTCACAAAGTTTGTGGCAGGGCAGATACTAACTCGCGGTAATTTCTGCTCAAAGAAAACCTCCCTAGTTTACCGAAGAATCTCATCGATGTAAATAGTATTCTAAGTGTAAATGTGTTCTATGGAAAAGTACTCCGTCTAAAGTTACTATCTTGTCCGAAAAAGGAAGTCCTCCAGCGGTGAGATTTTGACAGCTTGTGCGAGCCATCATCACAACTTTTGCCATCGGCAGCATGGCCATGTTCAAGTTTTTAATGGATTTTAAGAATCAGGGTCAGTGGTTAACTAAGTTTCAGAAATCAGATTGTCTTAAAAATCTGAGCTGAGTACGCCTGGTTATCCTCCAATTGAGTCACTACATTTTGTTCGTTGTTTTCATATTTCATATTTGTAACACCAACGGGAAGAAACTTGCCATTCTGGAGATCTGGACAACAGACAAAGACCAGTTTGTTTTTTACCGCATTTTAGTCAGACCGCCTTCGTTTTAAAAGAGAGATTTCTTGCCCTTCAGAAAGATTAATGTCAATTTTTATTGTGATTATATTTAACAAGAACCAATAAGTGACAAGTCAAAAGACACGCTTGTGAATGAGAGACTTTGGGGCGCTTGGTGGCGACAAACATAACCAGTCTTCTGAGCATGCATGCATAGTTCTGAGCAGTTCCTTGAAAAAGGATCGGTACGTCTGCTGCCACCAACATTTCAGAGTCTCCCATTGCTGGCTTTCCAAACGAAGTCTAGGTGGTGGAAATTAACAAGAACAGTGCCACTTCTGTTGGATTTTTCTGAACTTTGCAATGCTGAATCTGGTGGTTGACATTTCAAAATGAGGAAATCTTCCCAGTGCGTATGAGCAATGATAAAAAGAGTCATGTTGGGGGATCCGCCTACAGTTACCAGTACCACGTTCTTTTTGAATGGATTTAGCGTCTCCATAAAAATAAGGTCACTTTTAGTTTGTTTCACCAGTTAATGTTGCATTTTCTTCCCCTAAAAAGCTCCCCGGGGCAGTTATTTTTTTCTTTGTCCAAAAAATTCTACAACCTTGCGATTTATTTCTGGCCCAACCAAGCACAACCTGTTCAGACGACAACCGCGGAAATGACAAAAGAATTCTCGAACGAGGGTACATGTCTTCTGCGAAACAAATAAAAAAAACAAAACTGTGGTTAATGTCGCGCTATTCTATCTACCCAAAGCTGATGCCTAATGTTAACTTGACAAGACTGCTATGTGTCCGTTTTTGAAATTCAGGGGCGAAATAATGCCAAAACATCAATAGGAAAATGCCAGAAGGTCTCAGCCATTGATCCCGAGAGCTTTCTTTCTTTTCCCGGCCACTACAACTTGGGGGTTTCAGTTCAGTCCAACACAGTATTCAATTATGTTGAATGAAAGAAGCTGTGAATCAGCAGATTCTTTCAAAGATTCCTTGTCCTTGGAAGCAGTCAAACGAAACGTTTTCTTTGTTCCAGGATCTGTACCATTGTGGTGTAGGTCTCAAAAGTATCGGAGATACACCCATATATATGTGTGTACTAGGAGGTTTGTCACTTGAAAAGTATATTTCCCAATGACAATTTTTCTACACAGGTCAGGCATGTGGATGGGTCACAGTTTCTGACATTTATGTATTCTGTACCTCAAGATATCATACTGAGACTGTCTTCTGTCATAACATTCCTATGGAGCAACACCGATGTCTTCATTTTCAAAGCAAATGCCCCCTCTTTCATCCAAAGTACATGGACTTATAATACAGATTCTCAGTGGGCATTAGGAAATCAGATGAACATACCACGAACATTGGCTTGACAAAAACACCTCAACACGTACTGTACAATTCCAACCAAAAATCAAACATATTCTTGTAAATAGTATATATGCTTATATAGTTGTAAAGTGTGAACAGTACCAGTCTTGAATATTGCTATTTTCTTGTAAGATATATCAACAAAAAATATGAAAGCTTTCTATAGTAATGTATATGTCTATACCACCATAAAGAGAACAGCTATTGGTTTTTTTCTATTATGTAGTATTTGTGGTCTGTTGAGAATGATTGGCATTCTTAATTTTCAGAAACTGTTGAGGATTGGACGATAGGATTGTTTACTACAGTTTTCTAATTTCTGTTTTTCGGTTCTGTTAGTCTTTCCACGTGAGATATTGCTGAAGTACAGTGTAGTTCTTAAAATTTTTGTAACATAAAAACTGGTGTATCTTATGCCATGAGTACTTGTTTATTTAACATTGCCTGTCCAGTCTCATGGCTGTAATGTATGGAAGCGTATTTAGGACGTGACTAAAAAGGTTTGACCCACTATTTCACCTGGATTACTAATTTGCCCAGGCAAATAAGTTAGGCAAAAATTTTTTTTAGGCATGTCCTAAATACGCTAATATATAATATACTAATGGGAGTGAACTTTAATTGTCCAAATATCACATTAGTATAGTTAATTGGAGCCGTATGGGTAATTTCTTAAAGCTGCTTATGAGATGTTATTCATTAAAAAAAAAAACACGCACAGAACAAGCACCCAAGCAAACCTTTCTATGGTGAACTGAAAGTAACGTTTTGCTCTGCATTCAAATCTGCCAGATCTACTTTTGTATACCCGTTGGGCCCCAACATTTCATCCAATGCTGCCGTGATCAATGTATTAGATATGAAAATGAACGTCAGGCACTGTACGGTTGTTACGGTTTTGTGCATAAGACGGTATTTATGCTTTCCATCAACTTATATTCACAAAGAAGTACTTATAATAAAGGTTTTTAAAGATGTTTTCTCCCACGTGAATGGCTAATGTGCATCGAGTTGCATATAACTACTCTATTTGATTATTACATTAGTTCGCTTCGAGCAGAACAAAAGAGGGCGTTTTTTGGGTACCCACTGCATAGGCACGCCATGAGGGGCGCAAGTATATGCGCGTTTGACGCGGAGCACGCCGAGTACGCGTAACTAATTTATTCCGGCATGTAGATGTATGGTCTTTGCGTAAATGCAGAATGTGTGCAAGAACCCGCTTGTAACCACCTGTCTTTCTTTCGCCGATTGGGGGTGCACTTCAGTTTAGGGCAGATATCGTCTGTCTTGTTACGTGTGGCATTTTCTTATGGTCAGATTCAAGCAGCTATTGAAATAACAGTTTGGTATCTTTGAGTTGCGTTTTTCCACTGGTTAAGTACTACAATGCTACATGGCTCCTGACATTTCTTCAATGAAAATCTCTTTTTTGTCACAAAGATTCCAAATGGCTACTGTTGCTTTCCGTATATCAGGTTTAAGCTACTGTGGTTCAGAACATGAAGTTTGAATGCGATATGTTACATTTATTTATTTAAATTATGTTAACGAATGAAGAAGAGCTTTTTTTAAATCAAAAATAGTACTATGTACACAGAAGTTGTACAATGATCGTACTTTGTAAGCTGTACTTGAAAACGACTCACATTAAAAAAGTAAAAAAAATCCGTAATAGGGGTGTAAGCATTTCTGTTGTGTTTCTATGATGGTCTTAAAAAATTCCATGATTAAAGTTACAAGACCAGGCTAAAAAGTGATGCTTGTCTACTGCACTCTTACGCTGCTGGGCAAATATTGCTATCTCATAATGAAAATGTTGGGGATTGGGATATTTGGAAGTTATTCTGTGTCAACCCCGCCTCCCCCCCCAAAAAAAAATCAAAGACGGTCAATGTCAATAACGTGCTGTTAATTGTTACATTTTATAAGGTTGAAAAAGATCTTCATAGTTTGTCTAGCACACGGTCCAGTGTTCTGGTCAAGACCCTTTAAAACCATCACAAGATCATTTGCAAGACGGCCATTCTGAATTCACATCACAAGGTATTCAAATGAAGTGTGTGTAACAAAGCAGTCTTGTAATGACTGGTCTTGTGTCTGGTCTCATGTCTGGTGTTGTCACAAGTCTTGCATCTGGTCTTGTGAAGTTCTTGTGTCTGGTGTTGTGTCAGGTCTTGTTGCTCATCTTGTGTCTTGCCTTGCTTCTTGTCTTATGAATAGTCTTGTGTCTGGTCGTGTGACTGATCTTGTGATATTCTCACCAACAGTACTGACTCTTTGCAGCATTAGGTCCTCAACCTGATTTGGCAATATTGTATGACAGTGACTGAATGCTGCTTGCTAGTGGTAACCAGTGGAGAAAAATCATAAAACTGACGACGTCTTGGCTATGTAGCCGCTAGGCGACCACTTCTATCGGCAACTTTTTCAGGCAAGATCATTGGAATTATGTCTCAGTTTTTGCAATTGTTTTTTCATTCATTGTTTAATGCTTGAAGCAAAAGCATATGATGTGTACAAGCAATGTCTAACTATTTTAACATCTTCAGTGACACAGAAGAAGTAAAATTGGAATATAGGAACTCTGAGAATCGTTTGTGGCGTCCTCAGAGTTGGGTCAAGTTACCAATCTTCTAGCTATTCCTCCTCCGTGTATTTGCCTTCTGTGGCGACATCCTCCTTGTCCTCGTCAATGACTTGGGCTTCTTGGCACTTTTTGGCTTCCTCTGAAAAACCATCAGCAACATTAAAGGTTTTAAAAAACTTTCTTTTCTTCCAGGTAGATACACTGACAACTTCTTGATTGTAGCTACAGAGCTGTGGCCTTATGGTTAAGAGTATCGGATTCGCAGTCGACGGGTAAAGCCGCAGGTTGCGGGTTCGAATCCAGACTAGGGTCATGGTGGGTGTTCTCGGGCAAGGCACTTTGTCACTCATTACCTCTCTCCACCTAGGAGTAATTAATTGGGTATCTGTGAGGGCAGAGATGGTTCTTATGGTTGATTTAGCCACTTTGCACCAAACAGTGGCAGCATCGAGCTATATACTCCCCAGGGAGCTGAGATGGTATTTGGAATGTTTCTTTGGCCCAGTGAACAGTCATGTTAAAGGCGCTTTATAAATACCTATATTATTATTATTATTATGCAAGAAACTCTTCCAGTACAAGAACATTAGATTTCACCACAAACTGAAGTGGTTATTGTTGACTGCTGTACATCACCGATGCCCATGGATAAGTGTTATTCGGTTCGGCTCTCGAGGAACACAAATTTGAAACCTTGAACTTAATTTGAAAATTTCTAAAAATGATCAAATGGCTAGACACCTGTTTCGGGCCAAATTTGTAGCACTGAACTTTGCTTTATTCAGCAGATAAAATTGCTTGCTTTCATGTCGCTTACGCACCGGTATCACATACTAGGGGAATGAGCTACTGCCAGGCTCAACATGTTGGCAGGTGGCTGTAAAGCCTTGTTCATGATCAGGGATGGGGTATTAAATAAAACGCACTTCAAGAAGCTTTTCCAATTGCACAGAAATCCTCCGAATCGTAATCTGGTCTCAAAAACACCGTCAGCACTACGCTGTTATAGCACTCACCGGAAATCTGAATGAGTTTTGGTATGAACTCGTTCCACAGGATGCACTCCTTGGCCTTAATGCCACGCCCGTTTCCCATGGATGGTGACAGGTCCTTATAGGCGAGTTCCTCGAGGGTAAACAACGGCCATTCCGGCAGGTTCTCCTCCTCCCCCTGCTGGCCATCCAAGGAGGACAGATTAGGGTTGCTGAGAGAAAAAAAATTGGAATAAAATGGCAAATTAAAAAAGATAAATATATTTACCTAATAGTATTACTTTCATCTTCATCTAGAGCAGCTTCCTGGCCAGTTAGAAGTTTGTTCAAGATAAACATCGTAATAGTACATACATGTACTATCATGGTATGGTGGTTTATAAATACCATTATGTTCATATCAAAATGGTCCCAAATTGTCAGGCTTTCAGAGTCTAATATCTCAGGCTCTCTAAAGCTTTGCCAGATTTAGCTGGACCCACTAGTCTATGTAATTGGTGTTTGATTGCAGATGATCGAGAGTATATGATATCTGATGTTTTCTAATTAATAATGCAAGAGAACCTCATCTTGACGTCTTAATTTTGACCAATCAGGAGCCATGTACAACATTGTACATGTGCATGGGACTTCAGCAGCAAACTCAAAGTTAAGGCAAAGATGGGCGTGGTTAATGAACGGGAAGGCTATCCCAAAGTGCCATCCGGACTTCTTGTGCCTATGCACATTTAGTCAGGCTCGAGTCAGTTTGGCACTTTTTGCAGTGTGAATCTGTGCATTTGCCACACGGTTTTTAGATCCAGGGTCTCCAAAAGTGAAAAGCATAGGGCCTGTTTGTTTCACACGGATCTGGATCCCAATCAATTATCCCAAAGCTGGATGATCCATTAGGCGAGTTGTGGTGAGAATGACCCAACGATCACTGATCACGATCCAGATCCACGTGAAACAAACTAGCCCATATTTCTCAAGTCTAAATCATTCACAAACATGCTCTCCATAGCCACAACACCCAGACCAACCAACCAAGAGGCTTCAACAGAATTTCTGCTCAAATGACATCACATATTTCTAAATCAACTCTTACTGGTTAGCGTATGGGGTGGCATACAACTTGCATCCTCTGATAAATCACTACAAATCTATCAGACATTGGTTTTGGAGCTCTGGGCTTTATTTCCCAGCCCTCGGGACTATATATCCACTCACCCAGTCTTAGCGAGATTTGCCCAGTACTTGATGGTCTGGATCGACATCCGGGCTTCATCCTCGGTGAACGACCAGTTTGCAGAAGGGACGAGAGGCAGACCAAAGACGAAAATGAGATCGTCGCCGTGAGTCGCCTTGGTCCACTTATTGCCCAGCATGGGCGTAGTGGGGACATGACTCATGTGGTAGTGGTAGACCTTACGGCCCGCCTTGGTGAAGGCTTTGGCCGTTTTCACCCCAGAACAGACGAACATGGCGTCACCGAGAAGCTGCGCGAGGTTCTCAATCTGATCACAATTCAGCATGTCGGCGCAGGAGGCATTCCGGTACATCATCATGGCTGCGTCTGCAACAATTGGCTCGGGGCTCACCACACAAGCCAACTGGAATTTAGCCTGGGCGTCGAAAGTGTCGCGGTCGACAAATGGCGCTTCGTCGGTGTTGTTTGGAAAGGATGGCGTCAGCATGAGCATACCCTCATCAGAGAGAGCCCCAATGATTGACACAGCATCGTTGATGGCCCCTTGCTTGTACAGGTCATTGGGGTCAGCAGGGATGACCTCGCCATCAACAATGGGTGCATGGATCATTGAAGGACCTTCACCCAATTCTTCAAGTAACTGCAGAAACAAATTAACAAGTCTGACTTCAGATAAAACCTCTTATGAGTATAGAAAGATCTGCATATTTCGACTGAAGGCTTAAAGGGTAGCTGCAATAATTGTTCTTGATTACAAACCTGTAAAATGCATCTTTGTGCCTCAGTAAATCTTATTTTCAACTTGGGTTTGGCTACTTTAAAGGATATTTTAATGACTTTTTAGTTTTTATGCTAATGATATTTCCATATTCATGAGCAAAACTGTGATGGCATCTCAGGAAGAAGCCTTTATATTACATTGGTTTGTACACAAAAAAGTCCTGCGTTTTTGTTGATTTTCCTGGACTAAGTTTTCTCTTTGCTCATTCATTCAGAAATGTTCTCAGTTAGTACAATCTGGGTTTACAATTTGAACAGAAATACCTATGCTCTGAACCATGTCTTCCCTAGATGACTTCACAGCAACAGCGCCCTCAGTTGTCTGGGAAAACATGGCTTTATAACTTTTGTTTAAAAGTGTGCACTTTTCAATGCATTTAACCAAATAGGAGTGCGTAAGCATTTTCTTACATTGAAGGGAAGCACAAAGATGCAGAAAGATTACGTCGAAGAAAAATTCATTGCAGCGACATTTTTACCCTTGTACAAGCATGAATAATATCTACGCACATCTGACACGTTTATTCAAAATCTTGAAGAAAGGTAAATTATTTGACTGTGTGGCTCATTCAGTGACAGTCTTAAATAAAATAATGTTGTAGTCTTGTCCTCAAGTCCCTGAAAGTCCAATATTCCACAGTCCAAGCATGCCAACAATACATTATAATAGGCACATACACTGGTGTTCCTATTACCTTTAGCATCCTGTTCCTGCAATAAGGAAACAAAATCTACCTTTTCGAAACACCTTTCCCAGATAAGATGGCGCAGATGTCTTCTTTCATATCAGAAAGAAAAAAGGGCTTTGGTTTTTGAGGGAAATTGTGGGGTAAAAACGGCAATGTGCATGAGGCAAGGAAGAGTTGTGATCGAAGACGAAAAAGTGAATGTAGTCTGGTTCCTTGACCTGGATGATGAAGTTTTTTTAATGAAATTTAGCATATCCACAATGGTCGGGTCGGGTAACCAACCAGACGTGAAACAAAATGGCGTGATGTGGTTGTCTTTTGCCGAAATCGGGTAAAAAAATTCTGGTTTTCTTGCTTAATAAAATATGGTCAAAATTTACTAGAATTAAGGAATGCACCCTCAAGGTCTCAATGTCAGTTTTGTTTGAAAAAGTGGACTTCCTGTTATAATAGGAACAGGGTGCTGAAGGTAATGAACACCCATAATTTACACAACTTCAGTGTAATATGTTAGGTTTAGGTACAAATGAAGAAAAAGGTTATTTTTTTTATCTTTTTGTCTTCAAGGCTGTTTCCGTGTAGAAAAGATCAATTTTGAAAGCTTATTTCATAGGGTCTACTGCCAAAAATCGTTGCGTTGATTTTTGTTTTATTCAAGGAAAACACTCCCATTTCAATGTGTTGTTGGCTAACGACTGAGCCTCACTTTTTAGCTTGGAAGCCGTATCGAACTATGACATAATATATTACCAGCATGCTTCAAAGATGGCATTTGGGTTAGTGTGGCCAGATTGGGTGCAAATTTGCTGTCAGAAACTGAGAAGTTCTCATGACATTGGTCACTCTGAACATTGTTTATATTTCTGGGCATGTTGAAAGGACGTCTCAATTTTACGCAGACTCCATAAAGACTAATGAAAGCCATGTTTGATTCAATATTTCGTTCTTTATTCAGAACATCTTCAGGAAGATGTTCCTGAAGATGTTCTGAATAAAGAACGAAATATTGAATCAAGCATGGCTTTCATTAGTCTTTATGGAGTCTGCATAATATTGAGTTATCTGAATATTATCAGTGGATCACCTACTGGTTTTTGAAAGGACGTTTAAATGAACTTGAGGTGGATTCGACCACACAACACCGACCCAAGAAACAAACCTTCTCTTGCTGGTTCTCGATGAACTTGTCAGATCCCTCAACCTGTTGCAGACATTCCAACAACTCTTCCGACGTCTGTCGTTCGCAGCCGACGAGCTTTCCAAAGGTGAAGGCCAGGCGACGTGCCTTGCTGACCGAAGCAGTAGCCCACGGGGCAGTGGCGTCTCCAGACTAGGTAATGGGCACACACAAGGAAATATACCCAGCAAGAAATGGGACCGAGGGGTACCCCCCCAACATGTCCAATCCCTATATACATTCCGGACTGTTACTTAACACATCCCCCAAGATGTTGGACAGGAATTCCCTAGATTCCTGCGAGACAATGACCAACACAAAACAGGGGGGGGGCTCTCTCCGTCTCTTACCTTGCTGCATATGTAAGGAAAACAGTTGACCGCTTAAAGCCTTTGGTCTCGGCTATCCTATCAATATGGCAGGTGTACATGTACGCTGAATTACCTTACCATAGAGACGAGCGTATAGCTCACAGCAGCAGCGGGGCCCCAAAATGAATGGGAACACAATCCATTTTCAAACATAAAGGGTCATTTGTAACATTCGTGGTTTAAAGAGCGCGATATTTGCTTTGCTTTTTATTTCATTGTAATTTGTAGATCCAGAAATACACCCTAGCTAGTAAATACAAACACAATTGAGATTCTGTCACTTTTTAGTCTTATCACTTAACATACAGCTGTAACTGCCAAAAAAGAAACGCGTATTTAACCCTTTCAATTTGATTTCAAAGGGAGGCAGCGCCATGCACAGGAACATGCTAAGAATTTGCTTGCGCCATACTGTAGGCGGCACACTGCACAAACGCATCTCAAATTTTTACCTCCAAGATGGCGCCTCGGTAGAGCCCTCCGCTGCCCGGTGACACCATGTGCACGCCTATGCTGCCTGCCCCGGCACTCTCGCCAAAGATGGCTACTCGCGCCGGGTCGCCGCCGAAAGCTGATAAAAAACGCATGGGTTTCAGTTACACATGCTTAAATGGCCATTTTAATATTCTCCGTTAACTTGTTGAATACCGTACAATATAGAGATCATACATAGCTGGTGCCTTGGAGACTACCCTTTGCTATTTCAATTCGGTTACAATGACTGCACAAAAAGTTTACTCAGGATACAAAGGCCTTGGACTAAAACTCCACCTCTTGCTCTAACGGCTTCAGTGCCAACCATACATGTGGACTGTGTTGTGAACCTTGTGCGGACCAATGCGGGTCCTCACTAGGTTGCCCCTTTTCTGGGAGACAGTTTGAAAGGCATTTTGGAGTGAAGGTTAACCATAGCAAAGGAAGATGAACAGTCAAGGAATCCATCATCAAATGTCCAGCCCAAAGAGCTGCTCACAGTGCCGAAAAGTTTTTTTCCACATAATAGTGTTCTTATTAACCACATGGGCACAAAGGTATGGCTACTCTAGGTTGTAACGTAAACGTTAACCCAGCAGCATTGCGCTTAAATGCCGCTACAGTACTCCACGTGTAGTTGAGACTGAACAGTTCAAGTCAACGCTTCCCTTTATACCGCTTTAACCGAGACTAGAAGATCGTATATTAGGCCACCGCTTATATTCCTTGATAAGACTTGGAAACTGTCAACAAGCGTAAATCTAACATGGAGGGAAATATCTGTCAAGTTTTCTTTGAAAGTAGTTAATTTTTTTCCTGTTACGGCCCACAGCCTTGTGTGTGAGTTCTAATCTAAGATCGCTGTTTGGATATCAAACTCCTCTTGTCTGTGGACCCATTGGCTTCGTCCTCATTTTAATTTTACGGTAACTTAAAATATGTCCCAGTATTCGACGTACGTACTGGTACAAATTCTTCATTTTCATAATTAAAAACAGCATTGCCAATATGACTTAGGGCCCACAGACCTACCTTTAATGTTGTCTCTCACCCATTCCAAGGCTAGACGCTGGTCCAAAAGGCCCATGTTACCCGGAATGACGTCATCATCTAGTGCAAGAAGAAAATAAGCCGAAATACTGTGATCAGCATGCACATAATGTTGTTCCACCCGATCGAACTACCTGATCGTTGTTAAAGCAAAATGCCAGCTTCGAAGCATGCCCAGCATACATTATAATAGGCCCACGTTGTGTGGAGCTCGTGTGCGTAAATGAGGTGGATTAGAGAAGAGATATTACAGTATTGAGAACGTCTGTGGCTCGAGTCATAGAAGGTTTCTCTGTCTCTCAGTTTAATTCCTGTTGGAAAGATCAATGTCGAAAGGTTATTCATTTATGGCTACTACCAAATTTTTAGTCTCGAATTTGCTTTACTCAGCAACACCAAAAACCGCTTACTTCAACGTATTATCGACTTGAGCAGCTTGTTTATTAGCCTGGCACTCATATTACGTTACACGATAATATATTACCGGCACCTTTCCAACATTGCATTTTATTTTGAACGCCTTGTTTATTTAACGGTGGAGGGCGATAGTCGGATCGGGTGGTTGTTGACTCGGGGGTATGATCAAGGCACGCAGTTGGATGTGCTCGAGTGTCTCCCTGAGCACGAAAACAAACAGGCAACAGGAAGCAGTCGTGCATATAGAAATCCATGTAACGACCTACAGTTCGACCACTTGTCAAAGGCCTCTAAGCAATGCGCATGCGCAATACTGTCCCTCTTTAAGGTCTATTTGTCCACTTTGTGCTTAGTTACGCATAATTATCGATGCGGGGTTGGTTCAAAAACTGTCGAGGCCTACCAGAATAGTCCAGCCATGTATCGTCCGAGAGATTTTGTCGCATTGTCTTTTACTCGAGTCATTTCCCGACCGATCTTGCCCTACGGTTGAAAAGTAGTCGCCCATCCGTACTATTCAATCTGCATGCTCATTGATCTGTGTGGGCACAGCGTGTCGAGATAGGCGTAATGGTCACACAGTGGTGTTCTTTTTCTTAAGCTTGCGGCTCCTGTGGCTTTCTCTGAGTGCAAATGACAATAATAAGAACGAATACTTGCTCTTCCACAACTCACTTGTTGATAGAAAACCGAGAGCGCCAAGTCGATAGTTCAGTGTGACGGCTATGACGTCACCAACGGAAGCAATGGCGGTAGGATACAAGTCCATCATGACACCAGCCCCAACGATGTAAGCGCCACCATGAATGTAGACAAGAACGGCTGCATCTGGAGGCTACGGAGAAACATGATAGAAATACTTTAAAATCTTGTATTTTTTTGTCCACATAGTTGACTTTGAAAATGAAAATGTAAGTAAACTGTTTTTTACAATTGAAAATATAGTATTTTTAGCAAACAGTTTGGTAAAACTTTCAGGAAGGAAATTTGAAAAACAGGACAGCAGACACTCAATCCCTATATGAAGCACAGGAATAGACGTGAAACACATTAGGGCCCAGAACACGTCCATTTACAGAGAGCGATAAGAGACACCGGTGACGGAAAACGGTATGCTGCACGATATTTTTCATTAATTTACACACAAGGCCAACACAATTCTGTGTGCCAACTATCATGTCTGTAACGTTGCAAAATGCCAGTGACTACCAGCTGGAAGATTTGAAGGCACAGGAAAGTGCTCAACTATGCCAGACAGTCTGTGGTGACATGCTGGTGCCGTGCCTGAGGGCGGAAGGGATGAGCTGCCCCCATCCCCCCGAAAAAAATTTAAAAGAAACAAAAGCGAAGGAAGTGAAAAGGGGGAAATGAAAGGAAAGCAAATAACCAATTAGCTTGAGCCAAAAAACTTTGATATTTACCCCTTCCGCTGACATGGTTTACAGCTCTTACACCAGAAAGTAAAAGCTATTATTATTTCAAAGATGGGATACCCGCTGCTACATCCGATTCGGACCAGCCAGCCGACACCGGTAAGCTCGGGGTCGAGTGGTTAAGACGAGTCTGCACTAGTAAGCAGCAAGTCGTGGGTTCGAGTCCCACCCGAGTACGCTTGTAGGTTTTTCACAAGCCTTCGGGGCATACACTGAGCATACAGTGTTAAATACACGTCGGGCAGGGCCAAAATCCAAAATTAAAAGCTTTAAGGTTTTAAGAGCGTTGTCTGAAGACGAAAGTATTTTTTAAAAGTTCAGAAACTGAGAAAAAAGATGACGTTGAAATTTGTGCCCTTGTATATTTTCAATGGGCCGCTGAAGCTCTATGCCTCCATTTGCCATTATGCGCATCCGCGCATAAATTAGAATTTATTAGCGAACTGGCCTGCGCCTGTAGATAAAACCAATAAGCTCCGCCCACTGCGCACGTAGCGCTTATAATTAGCACGCATTCTTCTCCAATGCCATGTTTCAGCACCAAACACGCCCCTGCACAGATGTCGGAAATAAATCATGACTGTGATTGGTCAGATAACAAAGGGGTGGGGCTTTTGTCCCTCCCTGAAAAAGGAGCTGCCCCCCCCCATCCTGGCGACGACCATGCCACAATAAGATCACTGGTGGGCCAAAACGTCCCATTTGAAGCAAGATATGGGACGGAGAGAACCACCCCGCCTTTGTGTTGATCATTGTTTGATCGGAATCTCAGGAATTCTTTACAGACATCTGGGGGGTGTTAGGTAACAATAGTCTAGAGTGTGTATAGGGATTGGACAGGTAAGGGGGGGTACCCCTTCGTCCCATATCTTGCTATGGTATAATACGGTGTTTTTGAAAAGCGTTAATAAATACAACGATTTACCATCCTTCTCGGACGGATTGAACCCAGTCGACCCCTAGGGTATGATAGGAAACCATCTGTGATCGATTACAACTATAGCTAAGAATGCCGTCACATGGGCCTAATCAGTTATGAAAAAACACAAAATATAGTTTCATCCTTACGACAGATTGAGGCACGAATACATCAAGAAACAGACAATCTTCATCAAACGGCCCATTCAGTGTGTAATTTCCGAAAGGCACGAGGGGTTGTGGACAGCGGTTGCCCAGCCTGGTGGCCTGAAGCTCCCCGCTCCATGACTTAGCGACGGGAGGTTTGAAGCGCAGCGGGCCGACGGGAGCCTCAGCGTACGGTATGCCGAGGTAGGCGTCCACGCTCCGGCGAAGCGCGGAATCGATGGGGCTGAACTCGAGCCTCGTGCCGACGATGCGACCCTGGCTCGTGGTAACCACCGGAGGGTCCTCACTGTCCGCTAACACAACAGAAAAAAACAGGCACAAAACGCTGACAAACTTCAGGCAACCCATCATGGCAATGGTGCTCGCACTGAAGTAACAAGTGCAACCGCACGCCAATTACGTTTTAAATCTGTTAACTGTTCCTTGATCTACGCTTTTGTGCACATTGCACGCACATCACAATAGTATGTAAATTTACTCTGTTAGCCGATATGCAGACTAGATTCAACCTGCCAAAGTTCTTTTTTCTGCTCCACTGTAGGTCTGGTTCGAGAGTGAATAGCTTTGTTAATAATTAAAGTAAATGTACATGTCTGACTTATAGAAAATTATGGTCTCAGGCGTCTATAGGCCGACGACGAAAGGAACGGCACGAAAACAGGGGCTTTAAAAACGACACAATCTTGCAAATCAAATTCAGCTTACACTTCAGTAATCTACTTTACACGCCACTCACAGACACGGAACACAAAAGTTCTGACAATGTTTTAGGCATGCGGTGCACTGCATTGGCACAATCACTGCAGGACAAAAAGTGGCAGAGGTGAAGCGTAGCTAATTAATCAAGTGGAGTCGGAACGTCGTGATAACGCCGGTGTACAAGAATATACCATGCTCTGCGTGTACATAAAACCGTTTGTGAACGGTAGTGACCTTTTTGGTCAGTAGGTCAGTGCTCTTTGCTATAGTATAGAGAGATATGCACAATAAGTCCAGTCATGCATCCCTGTGAGACAAAAGCACTATACTGACATGCGTCAATGGCTGTCACGCACAACCTCCAAATTAGACCATATATATGCAGCAAGGTATGAGACCGTCGGAGAGAACCCCCCCCCCTGCTTTGTGTTGATGATTGTCTCGCAGGAATCTGGGGAATTCCTTTCAGACATCTTGGGGGTATGTGTTAAGTAACAATAGTCTGGAATGTGTATAGGGATTGGACATGTTGGGGGGCCGGGGGGGTACCCCTCGGTCTCATTTCTTGCTGGGTGTAAATTAGACGCAAGATAGCCACAATGGTCAGGTGCTGAGATTCTGAGAGAAGAAATAAAAGGGACACTGCTTTTGGTCCAAGATCCGTTGTACTGGCGCGATAGCTTTGGAGTCTACACTGGCAGAGCTATAGAGGGATAGTGAGAGTACTATACTTCAGACCGGCACTGCAAACTGTAACCAGCCAGTGTTTCGCAGTCGGAGCTGACCGGATCAGAGAGATCAAAGCGTTGATTTCTTGTGCAGCCTTTCCACGTCTAGCTGCAGCAGCATTAACTGGGGTACAATAAACCCTCCCCCACGAGACTTAGTGCCCCCTCCCCACAGATTTCCCACATTATTGCCCCTTGTAATCAGCATAATACATGTACATAAGCTGAGAGCCGTTGTGAAAACTTGACCACAGACGACTTGACGTGGCCCCTAATACAATGATGTCTCCCGCCCACCTGAATATTCCGGTTTATTACGCCCGTCCTTGCTTACAAGGTACTGTTACTTGCTCTATGCTCACACAAAACACCCTCAATCTCAACATGAAAGACACACAGAGTTTCGTGTAGCACTATAGTTTACCATCATTAAAAAAATTATAGACACTGGGAATAGAGAAATAGAGCAGAGAAGATGTGTCAAAGGTCGAAGTGTCAAAGGTCGAAGTGTCAAAGGTGAACAACAAAATGCCGCAACCAAACTGTTCGGTCGTACCAAACCTAGAACAGGCCTGGTGAACTTTGGACGGAAGATGACTGTATGTGAGGGACGTGTTGTGACTCAGCGGGCGCGTCTATCGTTATCGGCAAACGTGTTTGCACAACTCCTGATTTCAGTTTGCGTTTGTCAAAATATCCTGCAAGAAATGAGACCAATGGGTACCCCCAAACATGTCCAATCGCTATACACGTTCTAGACTATTGTTGCCTAACACCCCCTCCCAACTCTAGAAAGAATTCCTCAGATTCCAGTGAAACATTGACCAACACAAAGCAGGGAGGGGGGGTCCTCTCCGTCCCATATCTTGTTTGATATGTTTGTGATCAAACCCGAACATAGAAAACCTTGACAGTTTGGCCAACAATGGCATGGCAGACGTTATACCAGGCAAGATATGGGACGGAGGGGTACCCCCCCCCACTTACATGTCAAATCCCTATACTCACTCTAGACTATTGTTACCTAACACACCACCCCCCCCCAGAAGTCTGTTAAGAATTCCTGAGATTCCAATCAAACAATGACCAACATAAAGGCGCGGGGGGGGGTCTCTCCGTCCCATATCTTGCTTCAAATGGCAGACGTGACTGGACCTTGTTGAATAATTCCAGGATGTTGAAGTAGAATTGTTTTCATGGATCTTTTGGCAAAATCATTTCCTCTGTTAATAAACAAGATGAAGCTGGAGCAAGATTCCCAAGACTGTTATTTAGGGGCACAGTTTTTCTGGACGAGATCGCGCATCCACAATTCAAGTTCAATCATTTATCAATTGACCTCATGTCGATTTTGCCATGTACTTTTCCGTACAAGCTACCATTGACAATCGACCAGCGCCGGTCAACAAAGTGGTCGTCGCTCGCACCCTACCCTAAATTGCCAATGCTTCACTTGCCGAAGGTTTTCGTCAGTAGTGAACCCGAGGCGGTGACTTTACCGAATGACTTCTGCATATTGTGTCCGGCACTGTGCTTTCTTATAGACAATTCCAGTGATGCATGGCAACGCCATCAACCCTATTTAGAGTGGCCCCCTTTTATGGCGGTCAGCCTTACAGCGATTGTACAGAGCCACTGTTTCTGTGACCGTTACTTTGCACTGAACCCAACTCAACTCGTCAATTATACATTTGATACAAACTATGGGACTTTATGTTGGTCACTGTTGTACTGGTATTTCAGGAATTCTTTTCAGACATTTATAGGGACTTGTTAAGTGATAATAGGCTAGAGTGTGTATAGGGATTGGACTTGGGTGTGGGGGGGGGTACCCCTCTGTCCCACTTCGTGGCTGGTACACAGTACATAGATATTTCTGTTACACAAAATTTACCCTGCATGCTATCGCGGGAAAATACACCCTTAGTTTATTTAATCTACACAAATAAAACTAGCTGAAACAAGATCGAGACAGATCGAAACTGACTTATATCACGTGCTCACTCCCACGACCTTGTGCACCACTTAGTTGAGAGTTAGCACATGCGCAGTCGACGTCGGACGTCATCGTTCCGACACTTCTTTCCAAGGATGGAGACTATAATTTATTTTTTAGCCAAATACAAATAAAATTCACAGAGATGACCTGATAACTAAAGCTTGACAATATTAAATCACCGCATTTAATGAACCCATTTGCACAAAATTTGAAACAAATTCTGAAAAAAAAAGATTTTTACAAAAAATAAACACGATCAGATTTGAAAGAAAATACGTCCACGGTCTTTCCCATTTTAAAACAACTTCTCCAGTTTATCCAAACAAATGAAATAAAGTGCCGGGTGTATTGTGGTCTAATGAAAACATCGGTAGTATTTTCAAGTTATTGCGAATTGAATATCTTGCACGAGAATCATTTGGCCGTATAGTAGTGCGTGTACACGTGTGGGTGCGTTGATGGAGAGCGTGTACGTGCAGGCCTACTCTATCAATTGAAATTGATCAAACTAACAAAGGACAATTCACGATAGCTTAAACGTAACATGGTAACCTTTTTCAAACATTCTTTCAATTATCTAGATATGCAGCATGTGTGGAAAAAATGGAGAACAATTCAAATTTGCGGGTTTCAAATACCGTTTTTTTACGTTCGGAAATAGGCCTATAACGTTCACAGACATCTTTCACCCCATTTTCTCCAATTAGCAAGAAACACGTCACAAAATGAAATCTCATCTCTGACCATAATACCTGTGGTTTATATTCAGCAAACTTTTACACAATGCAGAAGATCTCCGCAGATGGATTTTGGTGTAGAGGAATTTCACACTAGCGCCGTCTGCGCACATCTGCATCGAAACCGAGGCTCTCTGTGTTGAACTTACCCGCGCGCGCCCGCGGAGTCCACACAGTACTTATAGTATCCGGTTCGTAAGTGTGTGACGCCACTTCAGTTTAAACCACGCCCACTGCACAAGATACACGACCATCGCAGGTACGTTAGTTCGCGGTCAATTGTCGTTATTTTTTCTTTTGATTTTACGTGTCGAGTCATCCTGAAAGACTCATCCACAAAAATTTGCTGCTTGAAAAGTCTGAATTTAACTTACCTTTATGTACTTTGTGTCTTAACTCCGTATGATCGTATTAAGAATTAAAGCTGACACATACAGCCTCATTTTCAAACGCGGAAGTGCGCAGATCGACGCTAAAAGCGTCGTATTGGGATCCCTCTATAGTCGTTTGCTGGCTGGCGTCGCCATTTCAACAAGCAATAAAAATGACCGCGACTTTGCTGAATTTTAGCGCATGCGCACAAACAAAGTGGAAGGGATGAACATATATCATGCTTGATTTGCATAGTAGCCATTTTGCAGGGGCAGCTATTTTGCTAACCGTGATGACAATAATGAATATTGTACATACTTCTGACAGATTACGTAGGCCTACACCGTTCTAGACTTTCTAGGGAGGCATTTCGTTGCAATTTTCAACTTGCCTAGATATTTTCAGTTTCATGACGTTCTTTGGCATTAAAGTGATACAGCGTACATTATTTCTTTCATTTTTACTATCCTGTTCACTGTACTCAGTTATTTTTTCAGTTGATTTTTTTTTCATTTTTAGTTCTTTTAAATTATTGTTTATGTGTGTTAATTGGAACTTTTCACATCATAACAATTTTCACTTCATATCATGCTGTCAATGTCCATGTAAAAGCGTCTAATCCCAATCAATTTTCTTTCAGTTTGAACTGTCTCTGTAAGGTACAGTTCTTCTTTATTAAAGAAATGACTCGTCGGTTGAAAAAATGGCAATATATCGCTATGAACTTACCTACCAACACTTCTCAGATGACATTCGCACGTCGTGTATTTTGGAAATAATTTGTCATGATGAGTGAGACGTTTCGATGCGTATTTATGTAGCAAACTCCTCTGTTGATTGACCTAGGAAACGGCCACTTGTCAGGCTTTCCAGTTCTTCCGGGAGGTGTGAAAGAAATCTACGGTTTGTCAATAGCATTTTCCCCCCAAATTTGACAGTTTGTATCTCGTTTGCAAGTTTGTATCTCGTTTATCCATCGCTGTATGCAATAACATGCATGTGTAAAATCCATCGTGATTTTGATGCAGAGAAGCGTGTACACACTACAGTAAGTCATGCCGCGGCTGTATGTCTCTGTGACTCGCCATTTGTGCGACGTACAAACACGCCCACTTTTATTTGTGGAACAAAAGTTGCCCATCCATCCAAAGTATTGACAAAGATATCCAGTAAAGACGCAAGCGCGTCATGAAAGACAGTGAATAAAGCTTTTATCGTGAACGGAGAAAGACTGTACACTGAAGAATGGGTCCAATTGATCTTGGGACCTTAAAGAATGCAAGATTCGACACTCTTTGTTCACTTATCCCTGTTAATTCCATCTCGATAGGCCTACCTGATGGAGCCTCCGTGGCGCAGACAAAATCTTTGCCTTCGCCACCATTGAGGACTACAGTGACTCCAAACGTCGGTGACTAAAATATCAAGAGCGCCTTCTTTCTTAGTTTTGCATTCTGCATGGCGGTTGCGGGACNGGAACGCGCCGCGACCGGAGGGTTTTCGCTTGGTATACGCAATCCACGGCACCATGGGCGCCAAGGAGAAAGTACAAACACTAAATGAAAACCACGCCGGGCCGATGTTCAGTTCGAGAAACAACTGAAATGGACCTCAACTTTGCATCCATGTCATTTGCTTGAAACAAGTTTTTTGTTTTCATGCACTTTTCCATTCTGTTACATTTACTATGAAAGGTACAACTACATCTTTAACTAAAACAAATGATACCGTAGTTCACGGCTGGAGGGAGTCCATTTTCAGGTAGTTATCCGAGCAAATAGATTTTTTGGCAAAGTGGGGAAGGCAACCGCTTCTTCGTTCCCCTCGTATACAACGCCCATGCTGCACGCCCAACTTTCGTAACAAAATCCAGGTTTTTTTCGTATTAAAACATGCATGTATTATTACAGCATGCTAATGTTGGTGTCGTTCCAGTTTTTTTGGTGAAAGTCAAGAAATGGTTCCTCATTACTGAGTTGGATACTTACCATCAACCCACATTTCAGACAGGCGTTCCAGAGTCGCTTCGATCCAAATTAAAGGCAAGATTTAATTAAGTTCGACGTCTGAAACAAAAAGGAGCGACGAGGTGCGCCAACAGACGACACTTGGAGTCATTCAGAACGTCTCAGGGGCGATTCGGTCTCAGAAATCGCTCTGGTATGAGCCTAACTCAATGCAAATCCATGTAAGCTGTATATTAATAAATGGTGACCTATGACATATCCCAAATCCATCGATAAAAATGATATTTCAGTTTGGGTCATCGCGGACTAAATTCACACTCGACTCGTGCGTCGCTACATGATTAAAATGGACATTTGGAAAAAAAAATGAAAATCATTTTAAATGTCACACCTGTGCAAGACATCCATGAAATTAAAGCTCATTGTCACAACACGACTTTTTTCCATTCAGTTTCGGCTGGGTTAGGCAAAGCGAGTCGTGAAGCCCATCGCCATTTTGACAACTTACTCCATCGGAAAACAGAGCCACTTGGAAAGCTCTGTTTTCTCCAAATTTATCGGAAATACGAGCCGGCAATTGATGGATAATTCGATTCTTCACTCTACTCTGACAGCAGGGAATTCCGATACAAACTTGAATGGATCAACATGTGGCAACTATTCCTGCCTGTAACCACATACAGAACGTCCAGAGCGAAGACGGCACATTTAGGCACAGACTCTAACTTCAATAATATCAGGCAAAATACAAGTCTTTGTATGGAACATTAAGTACTACTCCTGCAGTATCTATGACGATAAATACTTCCAAAACCATATGCGTCTAACCGTACAGACACAAATTCAATCTGTCGCTTCGGGATAACTTCTATGCATACTGTTCAGGGAATTTTATGATCATTACCGAAGCAATAAATGTGCGATGAGACGGTACTGAACTATGTACCTTTAAAACCTGACGGGGACTGCATGGCGACGGTAGCAATCTGACTCGCGTGCTAATGTGGTTACGCAATCACATTTCAAGATAACCCTGGAACTTTTTTTTCTGTTTATTTAGGCAAAAGAGTTCGACTATCATCGCAGAGTTCATGAAGGAAATGACTGAAATTTTGGCATCTTCAGCCGCTTCCATTGTTGAGCGTTTACACTTGTCATATTAAACGGTAGCTGATTATTTAAATTTTTCGCGCTTCCTCGTAGTCTCCGTCGAGTGGGGCTTAGTTGCTGGGTATTGAAATCAGTGTGGACACGGGGAAAACCCAGAGAGGACAGAATTTACTTGCGAGGATTTCCTTTTTTTCGTGCCTCTGTGCCAAATATTCAACGCGATTGAGCATTTCTGCCGCGCGCGAAGAATAGTACTGTGCGACGCTAACAGATCGTTTTCGGCTTAGGCGTAAAGCGAGACGGCAGTGCAAGCACATGGTAGTGGCCCTTACGTGCTTCCGTAGAAGAAAGGTTTGCCAGCATTGGCTGACATCAGACTGGGCCTTACAACCTCACAGTATGACCTTTAAAAAGTACCTCTAAGGAAAACACGTTTTCTCTGATTTTATCTGTTCAATAAATATGGAAGCGTCCAAATCAAGCAATCTACATTCAGCATCTTGGCATGAACAGAAAATAAGCCCTTTTGAGCTTGTTATAGTTGAGTNTCTGAAGACAAATGACACTGCATTCGATTAGGATGTTTCCATATTTATTTGAACAGATAAAATCAGAGAAAATGTGTTTTTCCTTAGAAGTGCTCTTTAAATGAAAATAGACCAAAAAATTCCCATCTCTTATTTTATTGTATCTTTTAATGTCTTTTTTGACAACTTACAAATTAGACTGCATTACGATGTGTTGTATTATATAAATTCATAAATAGAATCACATCACAGGTATTCACAATCAAACGTTTTGCATAATGATAATGCAACCTAACATTACCGTGATGGCATTGACACAGCTGATGGAAATTTTAATTACAAAAAGAGACCTTTCAACCTTTCAATGGACAACTTTCATAAGAGTGAGCTATGAACATCTGTACCATGAACAACCTCCTGCTTTAGTAAAATGTGATGTTACCTTCCTTTCCATTTCAAAATTTTTCCTCGGCCCGGTAATGTCAAGAATTTCATCCTTCCCCACCCCCAACTCATTGGCAGGGATTTGCACCACCGCTGGTTTACTGCCTGTATCTCTCGTCTCCTCTCTACGTCTGCAAGTGTCCAGGGGCTCTGCAAGCCTATCTCCTGGTTCGTCTTTCATCTTTTCAAGCGTTGCTCACATTCACGAGTGAAACGAACGCGACCTGTTTGGGCACCATTCGGGGATTGATTGAATGTCTCGGAAGAGGTTTTTGACAGGCCGCTACGAATAGATCGCCCTGATGAGGAAGGTTTCTTCGTTGTTGTCCCGGTCGTCGTTGATGAAGATGAGAATCTCGGCACTTCCAGCTTGCTGGCACGGCGTAAAACGTAGTCCCAGGCTGTACGTCTCGCTGCCTCCGATCTATACAGCAGACAAAAGGTTTCCTGCCTTAAAATTGCGCAAATGCGTATTTCTCTTTTCTTTAATTTGGAGACAAAAATAGCGACTTTCTATTCTTAATTCTTTGCCCCGAATCGACGCACCCCCTCATCGGCGAAGAAGAAACAGGTTGGTGGAATCGTTTTGCCTGGGCAAAACTTTCCAAGAGAACTTGGTGGTGCTTGCTCTGTAGGTCTCGCAACAAGATGCGCGCGCACGGACCTGTGCATGCATGTGGTGAGTTGCCCACCAAAGACATGCCGTTGCTATGGTAAAGCACGCCCTCTCTTGTTCCCGCACGGAGCGAATGCGGTTTCACTGGCTTACCAAACACTGGAAGCAGTACCGGATACTGTCGCCTTGTTATCAAGCGCAACTTACCTGAACTTTTGCCTCTTTGAATTGCAGTAAATCGTCCCTATTGCACCGAATGATGAACTCTTTGCTCTGCTGGTAGGGATTCGTGTACGTGATTCGCTTGAAAAGAAAAACAAAATAAGTTCATAATTTGGACTGAGACAAACTTCATTTTAAAAGTAGAATCTTTACAGTTTTATGACATAAAATTTTACCTCATGCGAACCCTCAAGTTAAAATTTAATCCCCTACAATCTGAATGGTAAGGAAAAGAGATGCAAAAATGTAAACCATACATCACTCGCGCAATACGATCCGACGGCAATGCGTGCCCAACATTTTACCCAAGCCCGCAAGTTTTCAAGAGTAATGCTCCTCAATGCAACCTACGCTTATAAACACAAAGAATAACTTGGTACAGCAGACGTGATATTCAACCCATTTTCAATAAAACCTGAACTGCCCTCTAGCAAGACAGCGAGCTTACCTTATTGGAACCTTTTCCGCCGCCCACCGGTAACTGAAGCTCAAAGGCTTTAGATATTACCGGCTGACGACACTGTACGCACACAAGCCAAGATCGTACCAGCTGGTGATACTCTTTATCTGAAGCCAAGCTAAGGAATCCACCTGTCTTAATTCATCTAATATAGATAAAAAAACACCTGGCACATAAATTATAGTACAAAATGAATGAGCTTTGCCATTAGCCACTTGGTAACGGTATTGTTCCACGATGAACTTGTCCTAAGTTTGGTATTATTTTTGCCGAAACTACCAACTTTGTGAAACGTCCAGCTACTTGGACCACAGACCTTCACACTGTTGACCTTTGCAAAGATGCTGCCCCCTGGTGGCCATTTGTTCAAGATCTTGGCAACAGTTTCATCATCACCTTGTTGAAACTCTAACACCCATTTCAGATAGGTGTTCTAGCGTCGCGCCAAACCAAACAGAATTAAGAGCGGCTCGGGTCGACCCAATTAAATTTTGGTTTCAGACAGATGAACTTAATACATACATCTGCATTGGGTTTGGCTCATGAAAAGAGCGATGTCGGAAACCAAGTCACTCTGGTGTCGTTCCGTACGCCTTCAAGTGTCGATCTTTCGCCTGCGTTGCTCCTAACCATTTCAGACGTCGAACTTTTGCCGTACTTAATTCAAACTTTGCTTTTAATTTGGTTCGGGGCAACTCTAGAACGCCTGCCTGAAACAGGTGTTAGACAATGTCGCGGAGTGTTATTTGCTAAAATGCCCAGACAAGGCTCGGGGCTGCTGAGGGCTCCATACACACTCAAACTCCATGGACTAATTTCAATTCACAATGTGTCCTACATGCTCCCAGCAAAGGAGAACCCCTGTGTCATCTGACATGAAGTAGTTGAAAGGAGGCTTGAAATGACTGAAACCACTTTCATGTTTGGTTGGAGCAAATAATTTCAGTCGTGAAATGAATACTGTTGTGAACACTATCAATAAAATACCAGTAACTCTCACTGAAAAGAGCTCAACTCTTTTGCAAACATAGGAGCTTTTAAAAATGTAAAAATTCCCCTCAAAAGTCTCAGTTTTACAGCAAAGTCCATCACAAGTTACAGAGGTATTTCACATTAGCAAAGTCTGCGCATATCTGCATCAAAATGATGTGGAAGGGTGTACATAATGAGCTCCTACAGGCAAACAACTTGAAACTTTCAAAGGATACCGACGACATTGATGTACATGAACTTGCTGCCGACAGAGATGGGACGCACGCCGACGTGGATCTCATGTACAGCATTGGCCAGCAGCATGAACGGTTCCGATGGCATTATCTACTCCAATCAGAAACGAACCGTAACAAGTAAATGGGTCACCTTTGGGAGTCAAACTATCGATGATTTGTCTTTTATTACACCATCTGTCTTCTGTGCATTGTTTCTGTATCACTTTTGTTTTTTTAAGCAACCCCCCCAGGTTCACCACCGTAGTGACTTTGAACCAGTATCTTTGAACAAATCTGGAATGCCTTAATGTGATCACACAAATTGCTGAAACTGACTCAAGCACGCGACAAAAATACATGTCCGTCCCTTTCTTTTGCCTAAAAGGACTCCTGAAAGACATACACACGTGTGCAAAAATCTAACATCATCTTTTTGGGGGGCTGTAAATGATCACTGAACACGATTCTAAGGCAAGACATGCTCACAACAGCTATAAAAATGCTTGTGATTACATGTGGTGGAAAACAATTAGTTTTCGGGTGGCATATATGGGGCACCGTACCTGCATCTCATTTGGATGCGAGGAGAAACATTGTACCAGTCTGGAGGCGCGAGTCCCTCTCAGTATGAGCGATTGCCGGCTGGTCTGCCCTTCAACACAAGACACGTCCACTCGCTGCAGGGAATGTATGTAGAACTGCCAGGTCTGGAGAGGCTTGGACAAGTAGGGCGTGCTAGAGATAAATAAACGCAACAAAATGGGACACTGCTGGGGATTCAAAATGGACAATCTCAGAAGGCACAAGGCAAGTGGGAATTTAGACATCGAGTAAACGTAAATATAAACCAAAACGAGCACAAAAGACAAACAGCAACAAATTGGCTGAAAAACATGGAAAATCAAAACGTAAAGCTGGGAATAGTGGTTGTAATTAAAATGCATTTAATGATCTAAGCTACGTCTCTGAATACAGCATTGTACACATATATCGGTCTTGCAACAACAGACGATATCATCCTAACACAAAGTTGCGAGAGAAAATTCTTGACTATGACTAATAATTATGCCTAGTTCAAAGCTGATTGCATTCACACAAGTTCAAAAAGTAGCACCTTGAAATCAGTGGTGGAAAAATAAGAAAATAAAAAAAAAAATGTAAACAAAAACAAAAGCTGTTAAGTCAGGAACTGCCATTCCACGCATACTGTATGGGAAATATAAGCCTTCTATCTTTTTGGTGTTAAACTTTACACATGCATAACCTATCCAGATATCCCGCCCTTTCTTCAAATTTAGAAGTGGCCAGTGGCATGACTTGGAGGAGTGCAAAGAAAACAGAAGATGTACACCCCCTGCAGATGTTAAGCCCCACCCCCACCTTTTTCCCTGTTTGAAATCTCAAAATGAACAGAAAATAAGGTACATGGACCAAGTGCAAGGGAGAGGGAAGATGCAACAACTCCCCCCCCCATGTAAAGCCCCACCCCCAATGTGACATCTCAAAATGAACAAACACATTATGCAGACCACGGCTGCCCCCTTCATAAAAATCTGGACACCTCGAGGTCCCCCGCCCTGGCAGCAGTTGCACCCAGGTTGCGTCACTACAAGTGGATTTTGTTTTAAGCGGACGGAGGTCAGAGCTTACGAATAGATCAGAATGAACATCTTCTTGACGGACGGCGACAGGCCGCAGGCAACTTTGAGGAAGACGTCCTGTGGCTCGCCAGCTGACTGCACGAAATAAACGAAAACGGCAAGCAATGTCATCGATTCAATCACAATAGGGTAACGCCAGAAATTAGGGTCACTTTTTTTTGTGTCCCTGTCACATCTGATATGTGACTTCGTAAGTTCAGAACACATTTTCCAATTTCCAAGAGTGATGAATTAATGCAAATTACCTGCCAAACAAATAGTGATAGTTTGAAATCAATTCCGGTGATATTTCCAAGTCAAAAAACAAAGGTCAGATGTAAAAAGGATGCAAAAGTGTCACACTTTTGGACCCCTAATTTATGGAATTATCCATTTACAAATTGATTAGAACGACTCAGTCATCACTATGAGACTTCAAGGTTTCAATATTCACGAAAAGGAAGGGAAAATCTTCATTTGTTTTAATTGAGAAAAATTGCACCATGGAGACTTGTTTCAAGCAGATTCAAATGAAAGCGACAGAAATCTTACCATTCAAAAAGTAAATTATTCATTAAAGAATTTAAAAAGAACAGAAATTTTCAACAGGGCAAGAAGTCTTGTTCATCTCTTAAATCTTGCTACATTGTGGCTGGAGATACTCCTAGATGTGAGAAGCTATTATATTGATTATAATGTACAATTGTGTGCGTTTTGCAACTGATTTTGTATATGGTTTGTTCATCAACATTCTGCTGGTGGGTACAAGCGAATATTCGGATATTCGATCAAATTGAAGATCAAATATTTGAATAGTGATTTATTCGAATTAGCTCAGGTCAATACAGCTTCCTCAAATCAGCATAGTGGTCAACTCCATCACAAGCACTTAAACAATTCCGGTCCTGAGTCTGCTAACAAGACCAGTCACAAGTGACACAGTGACCAATGACAAGGGAGTGCTTTTCTGACAGTTCATTGGAAAAGCTGGTGAGTTGGCTTACTAAAGACTGGATATTTTGTGATAGACTTCCAAGGACTTGTAAAGGACTCGACTACAACTTGGCTTCCACACACTATCCTCTCACTTTCCAATTTCCACAGACCATTCAAGCTTGGAATTGCGTCCCAACTTACAACTTTTTTGGTCTCGCAGATGACATTTCCGTCACTACATTTGACAAACAGCTGGCCAAGAGCTCCCACTCCGTGCTGTACACCTGTACAGAAAACAGTTCACAATGGTTTCAGAAGAGAAAAAGTTGTAGGCAACCTTAGCCCAATTCACCCTTATTTAAACAGGTACAAATTCAAGCACAGGATTCATCTTCACCGCTTATGTCGCAGAAATTTGCCTGAGATGTCCCCTCGTGTTAGGTCTGCTGAAAAAGTTAAGTTTGACCCGACCAACTCCTGACAAGTGGACACAGCACCGAAGAGCGATTACCTGACACAGAATGGAAAGGGGGCAACCGGATGGATTTCTTCAGGAAGGACTGCTCTGGGTGGTGAAATCGGAAGGTTTGATTAATGACGTGAGGTTGGGGTTCTACGTTGAGGGAGAGGATGGCTATGGGCTTGTTGTCTTGCGTCCTGAAGTAGATCTAACGAGGCAACAAAAAAGGCAAACCTAGTCAAAGTCGTCCTAAACTTACATTAAATAAAACACTCGGAAGATTCTATACTGTAATGCATGTGGAAGTTAAAACTGAGTTTTGACTTTTCTTCAAACAACTCAGAAAATAAGAAATCATTTCAAACCAGTATTTCCAAAACTGTAAGTAAAGCTTTGAAACTATTTCGTGACGTTAGTCAATAAAGGGTAAAAGACGCAGGGACTTGGCTTATTGAGTTCACCTGAAATGGGGCTGATCTGGGAAAGAATTCAAAAACGGCTCAGTTCACATAGCATTTCGACAACCTCCAGTGACCAACTGCATCTGCCTCTTCTCAAATATTTTGAAAGAAAAGAATGAACTTTACCTTGATTTTCTTGGACTCCAAGGCGAGGTCGACTTTCTTTTCTTCGGGCAAAGCCTGAATCTTGAGGTACGGCCCAGATGCCATCTGGGGGCCCTGCAAGGAAATGAACCAGAAATCAGGATCTCTCACAGTCACATCTGTAAGATTCAAATACCATTTACACAGCAATAATAACGGAATCACTGAGAAGCCTGTAAAACTTTTAAAAATGCAGAAAAATGTTGACGTCTACAATATTTTCTTTCATCCTGACGACAATCTGGGAATGAATACGGGGACTTCAGATCAGAATTTTCCAACTCATAATTTCAATTAAAAAACATACACTGATCTGAGCGAGAGTTTCAACCACCATTGCTCTAAAACCGAAGGCTGGGCGCAAGTTATGCGAGTAACATATATAGTATATATATGTACTCAAACTCCTATTGACATTCTCCGCCCCGAGATGAAGTGCGCCCTCACTGGCAAAAGCGAGACAGGCCGGTGGGAAGTTTTCCAAGTGAGCTCGTACACCTGCCCAACGCACACGAAGACCATACATTCCAACACAGACTAGCCGCCGGTACTCGGCACACCCCATGCCAAGCACACAAACCTGAAGGCTCACATACTGTGTTCCCATTAAAGGATCGTTGTTTCCGTGAAAGAGTACACCCTCTCTCGTTCCCGCTCAGAGCGGATAAACCCCAATCAAACTTCTCACTCTTCCATTCTCTCACCTGAGGAGGCACAGAATGGCTGGCCTTGAAGCTCTGGTACTTGAAAGGAATGTTGACCGTCTCCTTGGGCCTCAGGAACAACTGAAGTCCGGAGCCGTTGGGACTCTCCTTGGACAGTTCACTAAACATGTTCTCCTCCACGGCCGTGTAGGTCTCAAAGAGCTGTTTGAAATGCCTCCACTCTCGGGGATCAGTGATGATACTGTCAAATAAGAAGTGAATACCATCCTTTCCAGAGACCCAGGTGAAAAAGCGTAGGGGGGGAATTAAAATCAAAAGTTTTCCAAAAATACACTGCTCAAGGGTTGACATCGGTACAACACTTAACTAGTCACCAGCAGGGGCCAATTTCATAGAGCTGCTTAAGCACAAAATTTGCTTTAAGCGCGAGAAAACCTTGCTTGACAAATCAGGTTACCGGCCAAAACTCCACATGATGTCTGTATATTGTTTTGGAATCGTATTTGGCTTTCTTTTGGTTAGCATGAAAATCAGATAGAGTCTGAGCTAGTAACCTTTGTTTTTTAAGCAAGGTTGTTTAAGCAGATTTTGCACTTAAGCAGCTCTATGAAATTGGCCCCTCGGAGGGCTTTGAAGTTGTTGGACAAGAAATTGCGATCAACAGAGTTGATAGAGTGAAGAGATATAAGAATGATGGCCGGGGCCCGCACAGTCACAGTGAGGTCGAGTTGAAGGCCTGGTTGTGAATGTGTGGATGAGGTCCCATGACATATAGCCATACACCACTGCTATGTAACAGAGCCGCACTCGGTTGGCCCTATTCCAACACTGTGATATGATTTACTAGAACTCTCAAGTGACAGTTGAACGTCATCTTAAATCATGTCTACTGAGTCGTCGGTGGTAGCATCAGTCTTGTAGTGGAGACCATCACAAGACGTTTCACAATACCAGACCATTCACAAGTAAACTGGATGAACAATGACAAAGGAATGCTTTCGTTGGAGTTCATTTGAGCGGTTTGCGACTAGAATTCAGACTGGAGGTCTTGGTCTGGTTCCGTGATGGTCTTGTGGGGTTTTGTGACGGCGTTAACAGGTCTAGACTACAACATTGGACTGCATTAAAAGCAAAAAAACATTCTAAAACACAGACTGAAAATTGATTTTTGCTAACAGCCTTTAATTCCTCCTAACATAACATCACTCATTCTTATGCAAGGAAGACAGAAAATCCTCACTCACCTCAGTTCGGGATCGTCCCACTGGATGGAAATGGTGTGCTGCACGTTATACGGATTCCGAAGGATGTACTCCCAAAACTCGGCGTCACCAAACGACGGGTGGATGGTGTGCTCGGTGGTGATGGCCGTCTGAAGCATGGAGAGAATGCCATCTTTCTTGATTCGATCCCTGGAACCCCCCCCCAAAAAAAACAACGGCAGTTAAGTCAATAGTTGTGGCGTGCTTGTTCCTGACAAACACGGAGCTGTTCTCGTATGGAGAAAAAAATTTCAGGATGTAATTTTAAAAAGGGTGAATAACAAAAGTTGCAAATGCAATGAATGCCATAAAAATCAGACCATCGCGATCTAGCAAGGACAATTTATCAGAAAGGAAAAAAGCTGAAATGCACATATAATTTAATACGTACACCTGACATCTTGCTGTGATTGGCTCTTACCGATACAGCTCAATAGTCTTCAGATCCCTGGTTCGATGAAGAGTTTCCTCCTTCTTTAACTGGGGAAAAAAAATCCCCCCCCCCAAAAAAATCAAGTTTAAAACTCCACTGACTGAATACATTTCCGGCAGAATTTTACCAAGGACCCAGCACAACTTTCCAATCGACTTTTCAAAACCAAATGTGTCTCGGGCAAGGCAGGTGCGGTCGTCTAAATACTTTGTGTTTTTCACGTGTGCTTATGCTTCATCGAATTGCTTGGCTCCGATCACGGGTACACTTGATGCCGTTTTAAACAACATAAAAACAGGACTGCTCATTCGCCGGTGAATCTTTTTTGTGTATGAATACAAGACTGTGGTTGCTTAAGTTTGTAAGAAGTTCGGCTTACCAGTAAGCTCTGGTTGGCTCCCTTTCGGAGGGTATCTTCGGCCTGAGCTTGCCTGATGGCCTCCATTCGGGCAAGCTTCCTCTGCTTCTTGTAGTCACCCTCCCGGGTCGCCGCCTGGGATGCACTCTCAGGTTGCCCGGCGCGAGATGACAGCAAGGCCGAGGCCAGCTCCCGGTCGGTCTCCGCCATGTGCGAGGCGATGTAGCTGCGCTTCTGCTTCAGATTGGCCAATCCCAGACCTGCACAATCACAAATCGAAATCTTTATCAGGGGCCGATCATCATTGGGAGGAATATGGAATCCCTTGCCTGGATATTTAAGCGGTGAAGCTTGGGCAAAGCAGGAGACCTTTGTCATTCTGAAGCCTCTGCTCTGTCAGTATTTTTCAGTGACTTGATTGGCAGCTCCAGTGGCCGAGCACTGTGTCACTATGTAACATTGCTGGATTCGAACCCCCAACCCGTCAATCAAGAGTTTACAAACCTTAACCACAAGGTTACACATCCTCTCTACCCTCAATGTCCTGCTGGCAGAGCAGCAAGTGGGAATAAAGTGACCTTTCTGAGGCCACTAAGTACTTCCACTGCTGGATTCGAACCCCCAACCCGTCAATCAAGAGTTTACAAACCTTGACCACAAGGTTACACATCCTCTCTGCCCTCAATGTCCTGCTGGCAGAACAGCAAGTGGGGATAAAGTGACCTTTCTGAGGCCACTAAGTACTTCCACTGCTGGGTTCGAACCCCTGACCCGTTCACTGGGAGTTTATAAACCCTAACCACTTGGCCTAACGTCCCGTCTATGCCTATTGCCACACTGTAGGGCGTTACCACTTGGTCTAGCTCCCAGATTGACGCTCCCTCCCAGGAAGGCCCCACTGTTGTCTTCCTGCACCACGACCTTGGCGTCACGCGGGTGCATCGTCGCGGCCTTGACGACGTTCCGGTCCACTGAGTGGCCGATGTTGGCCAGCCTGAGGTGGAGGTGTCCCTTTAAGATAGCCTTCACGCCGACTGGTCGCACACTGCCACTCCTCGCCTGAAAAGTTAAGGGTGGAACTTTTGCGTTGTACTTTGTCAACATTTAGCAGAGTTAGCCACTTCCTGCCGGGTGGCGTTAGCGGCATGCACCACCCACTGCCGGACGCTTCTTCATTATTTTCCATTTTCAAAATTCTTCAAAAATTCAAATCTTCATTTACTTGACACGTACAGCCAAATGAATGACTGTCTTATGGCGACTCTAATCTGACAGGCAACCTCCACTGACACGTGAGTATTGCAGCCATGCCAACAGCCCAGTAAAGAGCCCCCATTGTGCGGTGTCGCGTAATATCCTCTTTGCTATGCTGGATGGCCGTGTTGCCACGCAGGGTGATTGACGGTCAAGCAGCGCGTTGGCCGTGAGGGTGACCTAGGCCCTTCATCAGGCACGTCAGCTCAATAAATGCTGCACAGCGGTAATGTCTGTACTAATGCGGCCAGATTCCACGAGCACCCAGCTGTATTGTACAGCTCATCGTTTGAGTGCTGGAGTGCATTTGTCCCCCCTGATATCCTCAATGGTACTGTTTCAAAACAATGACGGATTACCTCCGCTAATGCCAGCACTCTGCGCTGACAGCATACGAACCTTGAGTTAGTAAACCTTTTAGAAAATGTGCAAATGGATTGATAATCAACCATCTTTTGAACTTAACATGTAAACATCTCTTCTTACTTAAAAGAAAAAAAACTTTTTTTTTCATGTTAGAATAAAATCCTCAAAATATTCTCACAAATATGTAAAATAGTTAAACACTTTCCAAAGAAATAAAGATCAATATATCATATCGAGGAAAACTTTTACAAGGCTAACGTAAGTTGACATTTCTCTATACCTACCAAGTCTCCGGTCATGGCGTGGGTGTCCTCACCGTACTCTGTTGTAATGACATCTAGCTCGTGAGACACCTGGACAGATTCTCGTCCGCTACGTAGAAGATGCTGAACAAAACCATGTGAGAAAGAAAGGTGTCATCCGACTGACTGGCAAGACCCACTTTGTACACTCTTCTAAGAAAAGAGGTCACAAAACAATTCCATCGTGCCTGGATCCCCCAAATGAGTCTCGAGGTCGCATTTACAGCAATTCTGTTTTGGTTCCACGAAAAGGTGCAAGCAGGCTCTTGGTTTTGACGTATCCCTCAATTTGGCAGGCAGGTAAAAATGGACAATATCTAGGTGAAAAATGTTGAGGGCTGAACTGATATACACAGTGCAGGATTCTTTTTAAAGGCCTTTTACTCAAAAGCTGCTCTGGGGACTTGTGCCTCACTTTGTTAACTGGGTAACATTTTTTCAAACTCTTCTCGTCGCAACGGTGACACAAAATTCCACTTTTATTTGTTTGTATTTAACATGCTTTTTAACCCACCCAGCCCCGACTCTTTCTAGGGCCGAGAGGAGATTTGTGAGGGATGCTCCTGCTTACCTTCAGCTCGACTGCGCAGGAGCCAATCAGGAGTAGCGAATCGCCGTCCCAGACGTCAAGATGCAGCGTCTGCTGGTGCAGGTACTTGACAAACAGTTGGCTCTCGCCGGGCTTTAAGAAGCCCGGGTCGACGTTATAGCGAACCTGTGGCAGAAAGTGTTCTCACGTGTGTCACACGACAACTGGGTCGTTAAAGATCAAGACAGAGTAAAAATGCATCAAGATTCTTCTTTTTTTTTTTTTTGATTCACAATATGACTGCAGAGACACCAATGCCAGGATTTCTCAAACTCCAAAGTTTCACCTGCCGCCAGCCCCTATGGATGGAGGTCAGCTTTTGTTAAGTCAGCCGTATTTCTACCTACAAGATGGCAGACCAGCCAGCCGACCCCGACAAGCTTAACGGTCAAGTGGTTAAATCTGCACCAGTAAGCATGAGGTCATGGGTTCGAGTCCTACCCAAGTAAGCTTGTGAATTTGTTGCAAGATCTTGACAAACACTGAGTATACAATGTTTTTGTAAGTCGGCGTAACGGTAAAACCCGTCATTAAAAATTACCAAGTAATGAAAAAATCTCACACAGCTATCAAAACAATTAATAATAAACACTTACATCGTCCTCAATACTAAATGAAAATATTAATCTCTTTACCAGGAATGGGACAAATATACACAATCCAGTAAAAACTGACACCACCCAAGATTGACATTTCTGCTAACACTGCCCATCCATACAAATAGTAGGCAATATGAGAATAGTCTACACGCTGCAAGGTCATGTCCACATTGTGAAGCATTGTTGCGGCTTTACAAGTCTTCCGGCGCCAACTTGTTAAAAATAGCCGACAAAGAATTATTCAAACATGATTTTTACCATCCAGCCGGGTATTTCCTGAGATTTGGCTTCGTCATGCTCCATCTTCCTCAGCACGCAGGGTAGACTCTGGGAGTCGGACGTCAAGCTCCCCTCTACGTTCCCCAGTAGCAGCCTAGGCACAAATGAGAAACAAGGGCACTTTTATCCACCTTGCGAGGAAGCACCCCCTCATCGGTTGGAAAGAGCCGCACCGCAACCGTGACGCGTGCATTTCCCGGTCGTTCGTGAACCAGCGAAGTTCAGTTCTGACCAAAGGAGCCTCCAATGTTGAGACTACAGCCCCCTCTCCTGGTCCAGCTCGAGGCCCACTGAGCAACAGAACCAGTTGCAAGTCGTAGGATTTCATCAAACAAAATACTTTTTCGAAATCTTTGTATCCCGTCTATTTATTGTAATTGCCAGTACCATTTCTAGCGCTGTTCCAAATTCAATTCCTGTCCACTTCCAGTAAACGCATCGGCCAGTTGTTATACAAAGCCCTGGCAAGCATCACCGCAAGGGCTGGATTTTGAACAGGCATGAGGTGTGATATGTACTCACCTCTCGGTTGTAACAGGTGGATACCTGTAGAACTGGAATGTGAAGAACACTGTCCTGGGTGAGGTCGGCACGGCAGACTGTTGGAACTGGAGCACTCTACAGCAGAACAGATCAAACAAACCTGTTGACAATTCAGCTCTAGTAGCTGTACAGGTGTCAAGACTGCCCACAACATCTTAAGTCCATTCTGAGGGAAGTACTTTATGAAGCACGCCCTCGAGGCACATTTGGGTATGTTTCTCATTCAGCCAGTTACTCCAATACAACATCAGATCACATGATCTCTGTATTTTCATGTATACACCCTGCCAGTAAAGTTATTGTGCCCATTCATGGATTCGCCCAATTACAAATCACAGTACACTCGGAACAGACTGTCTAGCTGTTCAAGTTTTGCCGCTCACTGGACCACATTACTCGGACACATACTTGGACTCTAAAATGCTTCAGCACTGCAACCAACCTGGAGAAGGCAAGAAGTTGGACGACAATTTCGTTGCACTGCAGCACATCCGAACTCTCCTTCTGCAGATTCAGGGTGACCTGGTCCGACGGGTCGACCACCTCTGCCACCTCCCCGTTTCTGTCTCGGAGCTCGGGAAATCCGGCCTGGCTCAGGTGGGCGAAGGAGGCTCGACTCAACCCCCGAGCGCTGCGAGGATTGCAACCAACCGGAAAAACAACAAAACGTGACCACTAACAAGAAAAGCATGGCTTTGAAGCGATGAAAACACCACTTGCACAATGAATGCTACAAATTTCACAGAGCCTCATTCCAAACGGTTGACTCGACAGTCCAACCATCCACTCGGACGATGTCTGTCTAACTGTAGTTGTCACTCTAGACGATACATGCACCTTTGATTTGAGTCCAAGCCATTAAATAACTACTAAAATTGGTCAATGATTGCATTTCAGTCACAATGTGAAAAATTACAACTCTGCTTGATGCAACAGAGAACAGGACAACTTTCAGGACTGTACCTTGTGACGTATGGTCCGACAGGCATGATGGGTGCGTGAACAGGGGTAAATGGTAGCTCTTCCAAGTCCCCGGGAACAGTAGTCCCACCCGGTACACCGACCTGTATACGTTATGAAAATTTACACCAAAATATGCCTGTCGTTACTGATTGCTGCATTCTTGTTTCGATTGCTGTAATTTCATTGGCTCAGGGCGGTCATGTGACTGGTCTATAAAAATGCCTATTATTCTCATTCCTTGTGTACTGGCCGTGACCTTTATCCGCTCAAACCAGAGGTACCCCCTCAACGGCAAAGAAGAGACAGGCAGGTGGGAAAAGTTTGAACTAGGCACTAATAGGGCTGAGTCAATTCGGCTAATTCACTATTTGAATATTCGACCTTCAATTTGATCGAATAACCGAATATTCGGTCATACTGACCAGCAGATTGCTGAGGAACCAACCGTACACAATATCAATTGAAATAATGCCCATAATTGTACATTATGATAAATAAAATAGATTCTCACAACTAGGAGTATCTCCAGCCACAATCTAGTAAGATTTACAAGATGAATAATACTTCTTATCCCATTAAAAATGTATATTCCTTTTAAAGTTTTTCATGAATAATGTACTTTTTGAATCGTTGTAATGTGTCTGTCACTTTTCATTTGAATCTGCTTGCAACAAGCCTCCATAGTGCAATTTTTCTCATTTAAAACAAAAGAGAATTCTTCATTCCTTTTCACAAAGTTTGTATTTGAATATTCAAAATCAAAAAATAATATTCAAATATTCGATAATCAATTGAATATTTGGATATTAAGATATTTGGCATGCCTTAGGCACTAATTGTCATATCACTGGTACCCCTGCTGTTTTCACATTATACACATGACAATACAGTGTAGTAAACTTTGGCGGGAGCAGTGAAGTGGCACATGAAAGGATGTTCAAGTACATGTATGTTCAACGATTAACAATAGTGCGCCACCGTGAGTTTGCAACGCAATGGCCAATCACGGCGCACGAAATTTGTCGACCCTTTCCGAACGTGCATTGGGTTAACTAATTTCGCGCATTGTGATTGGCCAATCTCTTGGCAGCGCACTATTGTGAATCGCCCATATTATGGCAATGGCTAATTATTGTAATCCTAATTCCATCTCAAATGCACTTCGCCAAAATTTTGGATTTTCCTCTTTCTTTAACAAGATGTATGCTGAGCACTCTCCAACTGAAATAATGCTTTTGGAGTCCTGAAGATCTCATTGTCAAGCAACACCAGTGTGATCAGACCACAAACCAATGGGCAAGAAAAGCCATACCTCCAAATGCTTGATCTCCATGGGAAATGAATGAGGCGAAGAGTGGACCGTGGTTGCGTACTGAGGAGTGAGGAGATGTTGGCTATCGCCGGGATGCTGCATAAACGGCTGAACGCCCACTTGATGAGACGGAGCACCACTGCAGAATAAGAAGCATTCAGTCTTTTCAATAATTTGTCGGTTGCACCACAAATCGCTGTATTGTTCGTAAGTCTAAGGATGTTTTGTTACTTCGTGGTGCACCAAAACTATTGCATACGCCATTCCGTGGTGCAACCGACGAACTGAAATGCGATCATTTAAGGCAAGTCCTATGAGCTAGTATGAAGCACATCCGACGTCATTCAGGAAAGATGTGTGGCCGCTCAGTGAGCCACAGGTCGATTTGCACGTGGGCTTTGTTCTCGAACGACCTTCCCTGTTTGAAGGACTGAACTTTGTTATCCCAACTTGCTAATGCAAAGTAAACAACATCACAATATTACAAGTTGTCTTCGCACAAACAAACTACATTAAAGGTCTACTTGGAATGATCGGAAGACTCGCCAGTGTCTTCCAACCTAACCCAATTGCCAAAATGGAATAAATTCTTTTTCGTAAACTTAAGCTACTTTCTTTATTCTCAGTGACAAATTATTTCTGAGAAATGATAACTAATAACGCTTTGATTTCTTTTCCACTTCCAAATGTCAGGCTACGAAAATTCATCAACATTATTACCCCGAGAGTCGTAACTTTGGCAATGTTACACTGGAAGTTAGGAAAATTAAGTCTCTGACCTTTCTGGAAGTCTTAAACCTCGAGGCAAGGGAGGCCTGCTGGCGAGCCCTGGTGGTGCCTCGTCTGGGAGGGAAGCCTGGTCTGTGAGTGAAGAAGGTGAGACGGGGGACACAACGGATCGACGGTTACCTTTCTGGTCGGACACCACATCCTAAGTTGAAAATACAAATGTAAAAAACAAAAACTTTCAAAATTACGTAGCTTAATGCGATCATCAATGATATTTTTGACAGATTTATATCCATATTGTTCTCCTTCTTGAACCTAATCGATGCACGTCGCACGTAGCTCTTCCCTTGACAGCCATTAAAAAATCTTTGGCATTATCAAACACAACGTTTAAGTCAATTTGTGCATAACCTTGTAATATGTGTAATGCATAGTAAATTTCGTGTCTGATTCTCCTGTCATCTTGCATGTCCAGTGGTCAAGATAAACACTCCGTCCAAGCATTTCTTCTTTCCGTAAATCACACCCTTGTTTTTTACTCAACTAAATTCAGGCTTGCAACTCGGACTTTGGCAAAAAATGAGGATATTCCAATCTTCACAAGACTTTGTGCGGAGTTTTTTCAATGTTCAATGGCACCAGCGTGATGTGAAAACCACGGAAATCAGCCGATCGGAGGAAAAGCTGCACGCCAGTAAAACTGGCATTGTTTTTGTGACTGCGTAACAGTTGAATAAACTGTAACAATTTCAACAAATCATATTAAATGCACATGCATTACAGCTCCTGCCCTTATATGAGGCATGTTAAAATCCCCATTTCTACATGTGTGCGAGATTTATGTACACAACTACAGGAAACTATACCTGACTGTCTGGCTGCATATTTGATGATGAGGAGGAAGGGAGCAGGATTGTATGCAGATGGAAAGAGATGAAAAAAAAACAACAACGTGGAATGAATGTTTCAAATGAAACTCAGGGAATGATGTGAATAATGGATGAACACCACCCTACATGAACCTCTCTGGGGCGTGTGAAAATTGTGTTGAGATAATTCTCAAAGTAATTCTCAAGACAGACGGAATCTGTCAATTCGAATCTGGGCGTTGCATCCTTTTTCGACTTTCGTGTAATTCAACACCCAGAATTAGACACTGTTACTGCGGCGGTACAACGTTCATGTAGAGGTGGTTGGCCCACAGGACAAGACCAATGGGATGACATGGTCTGACAAATGCTTGTGGCGTCTCCTGGGATTAGTCTAAACGTAAAAACTGCATGTGAGGATCTGTTCAAATCCAGCCCAATTTACAATACATTCTTGAAAAACTCGGCTCATTATCTTTATTTTCTTACATTTTCAACAACCTCAATTCAGACAACCAGGGGAATTTTTACAACCCACCAAGTGGCCCACCAAGTGGCCCTCTAGGGTCAAATAATGGAATACAGTGATGGTTAACAAACGTGACGTTACCAGCATTGAGGAATGCCTGGGCGGTTCAGAGGGCTGGGTCGACTGTGGAGACACAGGTCTTGAACTGCCTTCCTTCTGATCACGTGCATGCAACAAACATATCAAGAAACCGTCAGAACATCGACAACACACAATACAGAGTTCTTATTAAACAGATGGCGTGAATGTGTTGAAACCTGGCAAGCGTGTAGCAACTTTTAATTAAATATTTTTAAAATTGTTGAAATTTTGCTCTGATTGTGTAAGTCTGTGTACTGACGTACCAGTCGTAAAGTTTGCTGACCTACCAGTCTTAGAAGAATAGACATTTTGCCAGAACTATTTGTCCGATTCCATGAGACATGATACCAAAATGACCACAAGATGTCAGCAAACTACTTCCTGATGGATTGGCATGATTAAAAAAGGCTTTGGGACAATATCAGAGAATGTATACCTGCTCCTTTAGGGGTGAGGCCACTTTAATCCCAAACACATTTTGAACAGCATTGAGACTGTTAAAATGTTCCAAAAGCAGGCCGTTGAATTCCATGGCTAGAACAAGGCATCACTACAATCCAGATCGTTATCATTTTGTAAGAACTGCGTGCAACTCGCCAACAACTAACAGACAGCTTGATCGGTTTCATGTAGAATCTAGTCTCCTTTTTGCAAAATTTGACCCAACGGGGCCTTGTGCTCAGACACCTGACGTCCAAAATTGTACCTTGACATTGAAGATAAACTGTATCT